CCCTCTCTCTCTCCCTCTGTCTCTCATGAATAAAAAAAAAAGATTTAAAAAAAATAAAACAAATAAAACCTTAAAAAAAAGTTACAAAGGAGGAAAAATAAATTCTGATTGAGTGAAGGAAAAAGGGAAGTGGTCAGAAGTTTCATATAAGACATGAGTTTTGACTTGTCTTCCAAGAAAACCAGGTGTTCACCAGGTGGACAGGATCGGGAGGAGTATTCCTCGTAGCTCAAACACAGAGTGCAGCATGGACAAAGGTGTAGAGGCATACAACATGTTCTCTGGGACTACAAACAGTTTAGTATAGCGGGAATATATTGTATGAAGAGAGGCCCAAACTGAAACAGGAGCTCTGAGCTAGTAAAAAGGGACTAGATCAGAGTGAGTCTTATTTTTGATTCTAAGTAGTAGCAGCCTATGGAGTACAGTTAAAGTATTGTTAGGAGTGAATACAATTTGTTCACATCTGGAGTTTCGGGGGGGAAAGTATTCTAAATGGAAAATAGCTTAAATGAGCAAGATTTAGGACAGGGAGAGTATTTAGAAAGCGGTCACAGCAACAACTCTGGGTGAGAACAGATAAGGATACCCACAGAGGGGCTAGACAGCATGGGGTATATAAAGAAATATTAAGAAAATGGAGCCAAAAAGCCTGGTGACTGGATTGACAAAAAGGATGAGACAGAGGGAGAATTTCAGGTTCATACCCAGTTTTCTGCCTGGATGACTGGTAAGTGGCTGTCCCTTAGATTTGGAAAACCGGAAGAGAAGCAGGTTGAGGAATAAATGTATTGAGTTCAGTTAGGACACGGTTTTTTGTTTTGTTTTTAATTGTGGCAAAATATGTAAGATTTACCATCTTAACCATTTTTAAGCACACAGTTCAGTAAAGTATTTAAACAATATTATACAACCAATCTCCAGAATTTTCATCTTGCGAAACTGAAACTTTATATCCATTAAACAACAACTACCCATTTACTCTTCCCAATGGCTGGTTTTTTCTCTTAGCATAATATCATCAAGGTTCATCCAACATATGTGTCAGAATTTTCTTCCTTTCTAAGGCTGAATTATATTCCATTGTATATATCATTGTGTATACTACATTTTCTTTATCCATTCATCTGTCAATGGACATTTGTATTGCTTTCACATTTTGACTATTGTGAATAGTGCTGCTAGTTACATGGGTGTACAAATAATGCTTTGAGACCCTGCTTTCAGTTCTGTTAGATATGTACCCAGAAGCAGAATTGCTAGATCATATAGTAATTCTATTTTTAATTTTTTTGAGGGCCCTCTGTTTTCCATAGCTGCTGTACCATTTTAGATTCCCACCAACAGGACGTAAGGGTTCTAATTTCTCTACATTCTCACTAACATTTATTATTTTCTTTTGTTGTTTTGATATTAGCCATCTTATTTGGTGTGGGGATTCATTGTTTTGAAGGTACTGTGGGACATCCTGGTGGAAACATTGAGTAAGCAGTTGGATATACGATTGTGGATTGCAGAAGAGAAGTCTGATAATTTGGGAATCATCAGCAAACAGGTGTGCTTGAGATTGCTTAAAGAAAGCACAAAAAAGAAAGACAATGAGAGTGATGGACAGATCTCTGAGCAACATTTCCAGGTCTGCTGAAGAAGTGAAACCAGTGAGTAGACTTATGGGGGAAACAAGTTTCAAAGAGGACAGAGTAATCAACAGTGACAAGTGTCAGAAAAGTGAAAAATGAGATGGAATCTAAAAAGCGGGGGGAGAATATGAAATTGGGGTCAAAGAAAATAGCTTGGCCCCTAAAATTCAAGGAAGGAACAGTTTTGTGATATAATAAGATCCAGAGCATGGCCTTGAATGTGGACTGATAAAGTGGAGTAAATGGAGGTTGCTGAATAATTGGATTCTAGGAGATCAAAAAATATGAGACAAGCAGGATGTGCAAGTCACTCATGATGCCAAGTGGTAGAGAAAAGGAAGATTGTGGATCAGACTCCAACATTATATCTGTGAATGAGGGGACATGAAGAGAGAAAGGTAGAGGTAGTAAATGAGGGTGCCAAGTACAGGCAAGGAGGATTTTCACAGGAAAGTGGAACCATAATGGTCCAGTGGTGGCCCACAATAGCCAGGGAAATGGCAATGCTACCTCCCAGTTCTGCAGTACAATAGAGTGAAGGGAAATGGTGAGCATCTGGTATAGAAAGAGTAGGAGAAGTACTGTCCTTGAGGGAAGTTAGATCTCAGTTTCAGTGAATGAGTAAAGACATCCTTCTGCTAAAATATTGAGAATACTGGACATGTATATATAATGGAACAAAGGTACGGACCAAGAGGTAAATGAAGAGTTGGGATTCAGGCCTAAAGAAATGGGGGGGGAGGGATAAGCCCAGAGAATGTGAGGGAATGACACTGAAAGGGTTGACAAAAGTGACTAAGAATGAGGAGATGAGATGTGGAGGACCCTAGAAGGTTGTGTATTGCATGACCTATATGGCCACATGCAACCCCAGGGCTACCAGATCATGAAGGGACTTGTAGGTCACATGGTAGAAGTTTGGATTTTACTTTATGTGTAACAGGAAACCACTGAAAGGTTTGTGTTACTTGAAATGTGGTGTGGCAGTAGAGATGGAGGGAATTAGATTTGGGATATATTTTACAGGAAGAACTAATGAGTCTTGCTAGTGGGCTTTCTTAGGTATGAGAAGGACTCATAAGGGAAAGAGAGGAATCAAGGGTCATTTGGGTTTTGGCTGGAACAATGTTGGATAATGGTTACTGATCCTAAGAGGGAGTATGGGAGTGGGATAGAACAGGTTTGGGAAGGCAATTCACAAGTTCTGTTTGGGGCATAAATTTCATATGCCTATTAAATATCCAAGGGAGGCATCAGTGAAACATCAGAGTGAGCTCAAGGAAAAGTTGAGACTGCAGATGGAAAGCTGGGAGTCATTGGCTGTCAGTGACACATATCACATAGATAGTATCAAAAGTCATGGGACTAGGGGTACCTGCGTGGCACAGTCTCTTAAGCACCCGGCTCTTAATTTCAGCTCAGGTTGTGATCTCAGGGTCTTAAGATCAAGCCCCATGAGGAGCCTGTATCAGGCTCCATGCTCAGTGGGAAGTCTGCCTGAGATTCTCTCCCTCTCTCCTGGCCCCTCCCCCTGCTCATGTGCTCCTTCTCTCTCTCTCTCTCTCAAATAAATAAGTATATCTTTAAAAAAAAAGTCATGGGACTGGATGAAATGACCCTGGGAGAAAGGGTAAAGAGAAAAGAGAAGAGAATCCAGGAAAAACCCATTTCTTGCCCTCCGATATTATGATGGAGTCAAGCCCTGCTGAAATTGCATACTTAAGATAATCAGATTTACCTTATTTCAATGTGATTGTACTTCTTTGCTCAAAATAAAGAGCAATTATTTCCTGCTCCTCATAAAATCAAGCATATCTCCCTTTGCCCAATTTCTAAGTCCTTCATGTGCATGATCAATATTTAGCTTAAGGATTTACTAAGCACTTATCTGGTGAATGCAGAAATAAACTTGTTCTCACCCTTAAAGGGTGTGCAGTTTATG